GAGAGAGAGAGAAAACGACCGAAATAACGTGTTAATGTTCGCCGTCGCGTTTATTTCGCGAGCCCTCCTTTTTTTTAGAGGCATTAATCATCGTCTACGGTAAATGTTCTTTGCGTTGTTAATGTTTCGCGTTAACTCCCACTCTCTCCCCCTCGCCTTGGTAGCTAACAAACGTAACCGTGGTTCGTATCTCGCGGTCCGCGAAACATTGAAATAAAACTACCGGCCTACTCCTTCCCTTCATTTTTCCCCAGTCATATACGAATAACGCAAATTTCTCACCTGGCGTACACCAGCGCGACGTTAACCAGGTCCCATTAATCTCAACGCCACTCTGCCCCCTCCCCCGCCTCTCACTCGACCAAGTTTCTCGTTTAGGAACGCGCCCGCGTACGTACGTCGCGCTCGTCCAAGCCCCTCTCGCTCCTCCACCCCCCCCCTCCCTCTCTGTCCCACTGCCCCTCGCCTTTTTTTCCGCCCAAGGATGAAGACCAGGGTGGTAATTAAAGCGTGAATAAATAAAAGGCAGACGCGTAAATCCCGCGACATGAAAAAGCGGCGCCGGGAATGGAAGGCGAGAGGGAGAGATGACGCGGAGGAGAAGAAAAGGAGGGTTGCGAACACAATAAACCCGCGCCGGTTTACGAGCTCCTCGAGATCTTAATCGTCCACTCCACTAGGCCGATTCCCCCGGGGAATCGCGCGCCGGGCACGCCGCGCGCCACCGAGAGTGGAGGAGAGATTGCAACACACTCCGGAGCTCCCGGAGTTATATCGTTTTTGAATAATAATAAGCCAGTCCGTTTCGCGAAATTCCGCGAGAAGCGGCACAAACATTTGCTCGAACTTCGCGGTTTGCCGCGATGCTGGATATATGTCAGTTGTGAAACTTGCGAATCATGAAGTTTCCCGCGTACGCAGGAGAAGTTACTATGTATGTCCCATTCCGCATAAAATGTCTGTCACGGAAACTTTGCGAAGAAATGTTCGGAGAAATCTTCCGTGGGAAGATATCCGCATCGAGATATCCATATCGTACGTTCCGTCCGCGTGTCACGGGGGGGGGGGGAAACTCATATCGTAACTTACGCGGATATTGAAGAGCGTCGAGGCGCTCCGAGAGAAACGGACGTAGCGATTGTTACCTTTTCTTTTCGATGAATAATATATTAAAATTACTTTGAATCTTCTTGACTCAAGGCAGAAAAAGAGAGAGAAAGAGAGATAGAAAGAAGAACCCCCCCGTTCTCCCGGGCGGGGTACGCTCGGAATACGTTTCGATTCGTCTTCGTTGAGTCCCGCTCGGATAAGGGGATGGGATCGGGAATCCGCAGGGGTAATTGATTCCTTCCGACTTGGCGGTAGATCCAATCACGATCATTGGGAAAGTTAATCGAGTGGAAGGAAGCGCGCGATTTCCTCCCCCGTGCGCTCGCGCGCGCGCGCGTGCGGTCGCGCATCTTCCGGAGCCGTATCTGAGCCGTTTGCGTCGCGATTTATTCGCGCTCGCAGCGGCGACACACGCGCTACTCTTTTTTCATATCGCCCCCTTTAGGAATTCATTATCCTGCCGCGATATTACGCCGCTCGTAACTCCAACTCCGGGAATCTACTTTATTCGGAAAGCCGGGCGCGTAATGCGATTTCCGAAAATAAGTATGGAGATTCGACGAGTCTCGCGGAGACGACGCGAGAATAGATCACGATCATAGCGGTGTATCGAAGAGTCAATGGCAAATTAAAGATCCTCCCCGTTAAATCGCGCTGAATCGCGTGAAGCTGGAAAGATTCTATTGTTGTCTATTTACAGCTTTAACCAAACCGGGTCTGCTCGCACGACTTTCCATTTGCACGCATACATAATTAAACATTTTCCGCACGCATATGTCGAAGAGGCGAGGAAAGAGGAGGGGGGGGGGGAGAGGGGTGATTTAATGAAGATCAATATTCCAGTTTTACATTGTGCCATTCTATGCGCTTAATAATAATGTTTGCCTGTCGCGCGATAAACGATCATATATCATCATATAGGGCACGTTTCAATCATCAAATGCCGCGATATGACAAAACATGGAGTATCTTATTCCGAGCACTCGATTGTAATACGCACAATCATTTTGACAAGGTAATACGATTAATATTCCATACCCGTCGGTGTTTCACCCGGGCGATTAATCGAATGAAAGATCGTTAAAAATTATAATGTGATTACCTTAAGTTTGTATAAATATTAAATTAATATCTTAAAATGCTAAAGCAGATGTAACGCGATCAAAATATTCACATGAATAAATAATACATTATAATGCGTACATTATATCCGATAATACCGCTTATAGAACTTTCATTAATATTTCAATAAAAGGAAATGCTCAACCGGTAATAAAACATATTGCGCGATTAAATATCGAAGTCTTAAATAGCTTGATTAAATTTCAGCGAGCAATATCGCGACTGCGTATGCCCGCCGTTTTTATTTAATCGCGGCAAAATATATAATAACTATCATAAGCTATGCCATATTTATTCACCGGAGGGGCAGGCTGTAAAGTAATAAAGACTTGATTTACGGAGATATTAAAATCGCAATGAACGCTCCGGGAATTTAGAAGAAAAATGCGTTTAAGAATTTCGAGGCAGATTCCTCGTCGCACGTCGCGAACGCCGATGTCTCGAAATTGCTACGAGGCATCCTCCGTTATACACATTTAGAGGAC